TTAGGGTTTAGGGTTTAGGGTTTAGGGGTTTAGGGGTTTAGGGGTTTAGGGGTTTAGGGGTTTAGGGGTTTAGGGGTTTAGGGGTTTAGGGGTTTAGGGGTCTAGGGGTTTAGGGTTTAGGGTAGGTTTAGGGTTTAGGGTTTAGGGTTTAGGGTTTAGGGTTTAGGGTTTAGGGTTTAGGGTTTAGGGTTTAGGGTTTAGGGTTTAGGGTTTAGGGTTTAGGGTTTAGGGTTTAGGGTTTAGGGTTTAGGGTTTAGGGTTTAGAGGTTAGGGTTTAGGGTTTAGGGTTTAGGGTTTAGGGTTTAGGGTTTAGGGTTTAGGGTTTAGGGTTTAGGGTTTAGGGTTTAGGGTTTAGGGTTTAGGGTTTAGGGTTTAGGGTGTATAGAAGGGAAGCTCGCTTGTGCTAAAAGCACCCGGGCCGCTCGCTTGCGTTAGCATGTAGTCCCACCCCAACCACCCAAACTATTCTCATTTAGGGTTTAGGGTTCACCCCCCAAACCCCCCTCAAGGGGGGCTTTCTTGCTTTTTACAGAGAAAGAGCAGGGCGGGGTCTCCCGAGCTTCATGGAGCCTGTCAGTGACTCGTAGGCTTCTTGGAGCTTTCACGGAGTAAAATGGAAGGTGCCCAAAACCATCAAGTGCAATACCAAAAACCCACATTTTCGGGCTTGAAAGGGCAGCAAAAACGGTCGGGGGTAGCAGGGCCTCGGCCGGCCCTGCTTTTTGAAATGGAAAACCGTCGATTTTCTTACGCGTCTGGGCAAATGAGACCCTGTCAGCTCAGGCCCCAGGAGGCCCCTCTGGGAGGCCGGAAATCGACGGCTCTGGGTGGTCTCTCGTTTTCTGGATTTTTGACCAAAACCGAGCCTTCACCGGCTTCGGGATTTCAAGTTTTTCAAGGTTCTTCAAGGTTTTTCAGCGTTTTTGTGTTTTTTTTATGGTTTTTATGTTTTTCAGGATATTTCAGAGTTTGTAACCCTCAATTCTGATGGAGGGCCGCCCCCGCGACCTTTTCACAGCCTAGTTTTGGTCAAGGGGGGGTTGTGTTTTTCAATTTTAAAGGCAAAATAGTCTTCTGAGACCCCCCCTAGCCTCAAACTCCGACCCCCCCTTGAAAGGGAAAGTTTGCCTCCAAAAACACCCCAAATGAGGGGGACCCCAGGATCGGCCCGGGTCCCAGTTAAAAATGCGATTTTTTAGTACTGAAATCGACGGCTCTGGGTGGTCTCTCGTTTTCTGGATTTTTGACCAAAACCGAGCGGGGTTTCAGGAGGTCCGGGAACCCTTGGGAGGGGGTGTCAGGGGGGTCTCAGGGGGGTCCCAAGGGGGTCCCGGGGGGGGGGTCCCAGGTTGCAGTCGCAAGGGAGCTCCCCAAAAGGTGTCAGGGGTCCCAGGTGGTCCCAGGGGGGTCCCAGGGGGGTCCCAGGGGGGTCCCAGGGGGGTCCCAGGGGGGTCCCAGGGGGGTCCCAGGGGGGTCCCAGGGGGGTCCCAGAAAGTGTCGGGGTCCCGGAGAAAGACAAACCCAAAAACAACAATCGGAGGCAAAATCGCTGCAGGAGCCCCCCTGGACCGGCCCCGGCAGGGGGGGTCCCCGGAATCTGCCAGCCCGGGCCCCAGACCCCCCCGGGGGGTACCCCCCTGACCCCCGTAAAAAACACTAAAAGACATCAATGGTCGTAGGTTGTCACTGCCGTCTCGTCTACCGGGAGGCTTTACCCTCCCTCACCGTTCTGTGGAGACGCTCGGTCGGGGACCTCGGTCGAGCCCATGCATATGGACAGCGGCGCTCTCGGCAGCTTAGGGTTTAGGGTTTAGGGTTCAAGAGCTCCTGGTCGAGCAGTTTCTCGTTTAGGCTCTGTGTTTAGAACATCGAAAAATACCCACCCACCCGAAGTTCCCATAACATTAAGAAATAAAAAGTTTCTTCTTTTTATTAGGATGGTTCAATAACAAAATGAATGACTTCCACTTAACAAACGAGGAGGTGGAGATACTAAACCACGCGAGGCTTTGAGGTCTTGAAATCCTAAACTGAGGCTCAAACCTTGAACAAAAAATTTTAAAAAATGAAAAAACCCTGAAAAAAAGAAGGAGAGAAAAAAAAGCCTGGGGTCCCCCCCCATTTGGGGTGTTTTTGGAAGCAAATTTTCCCTCATGGGGGGGTCGGAGTTCGAGGCAAGGGGGGGTCTCCGAAGATTGTTTTGCCTTTAAAATCGAAAAATGACCCCCCCCCCCTGACCAAAATCATTGTGAAAAAGGTCGCGGAAAAGTCTTGAAACACTTGAAAAACACAAAAACCCAGAAAACGAGAGGCCACCCAGAACCCTCGATTTCAGTACTAAAAATTCGCATTTTCATTGCGGGTCTAGGCCAAGCCTGAGGTCCTTTTTGGGGTGTTTTTTGAGGCAAACTTTCCCTCTCAAGGGGGGGTCGGAGTTTGAGGCAAGGAGGGTCTCCAAAGACTATTTTGCCTTTAAAATCCAAAAATACGACCCCCCCTTGACCGAAATTAGGCTGTGAAAAGGTCGCGGGGGCAGCTCAGAAAAACCCTGAAAAAACCCGAAGAAACATGGAAAAACCTTAAAAAAACATTGAAAAACCTTGAAAAACCCTGAAAAACTTGAAAAAACACGGCGTTGAGGCCTTGAAACCCTAAACACAGGCCTTGAGGCCTTGAAACCCTAAACGCTGGGCCCTAGGCCTTGAAACCCTAAACGCTTGGCCCTGAAACCCTAAACACAGGCCCTGAGGCCCTCAAACCCTAAACACAGGCCCTGAGGCCCTGAAACCCTAAACACAGGCCCTGAGGCCTTGAAACCCTAAACGCTGGGCCCTGAGGCCTTGAAACCCTAAACAACCCTAAACGCTGGGCCCTGAAACCCTAAACACAGGCCCTGAGGCCCTGAAACCCTAAACACAGGCCCTGAAAGGCCCTGAAACCCTAAACACAGAAACCCTGAGGCCCTGAAACCCTAAACACAGGCCCTGAGGCCCTGAGGCCTTGAAACCCTAAACGCTGGGCCCTGAAACCCTAAACACAAGCCCTGAGGCCCTGAAACCCTAAACACAGGCTTTGAGGCCTTGAAACCCTAAACGCTGGGCCCTGAAACCCTAAACACAGGCCCTGAGGCCCTGAAACCCTAAACACAGGCCCTGAGGCCTTGAAACCCTAAACGCTGGGCCCTGAAACCCTAAACACAGGCCCTGAGGCCCTGAAACCCTAAACACAGGCCCTGAGGCCTTGAAACCCTAAACGCTGGGCCCTGAAACCCTAAACACAGGCCCTGAGGCCCTGAAACCCTAAACACAGGCCCTGAGGCCTTGAAACCCTAAACGCTGGGCCCTGAAACCCTAAACACAGGCCCTGAGGCCTGAAACCCTAAACACAGGCCCTGAGGCCTTGAAACCCTAAACGCTGGGCCCTGAAACCCTAAACACAGGCCCTGAGGCCCTGAAACCCTAAACACAGGCCCTGAGGCCTTGAAACCCTAAACGCTGGGCCCTGAAACCCTAAACACAGGCCCTGAGGCCCTGAAACCCTAAACACAGGCCCTGAGGCCTGAAACCCTAAACACAGGCCTGAGGCCTTGAAACCCTAAACGCTGGGCCCTGAAACCCTAAACACAGGCCCTGAGGCCTGAAACCCTAAACACAGGCCTTGAGGCCTTGAAACCCTAAACGCTGGGCCCTGAAACCCTAAACACAGGCCCTGAGGCCCTGAAACCCTAAACACAGGCCCTGAGGCCTTGAAACCCTAAACGCTGGGCCCTGAAACCCTAAACACAGGCCCTGAGGCCCTGAAACCCTAAACACAGGCCCTGAGGCCCTGAAACCCTAAACACAGGCCTGAGGCCTTGAAACCCTAAACGCTGGGCCCTGAAACCCTAAACACAGGCCCTGAGGCCCTGAAACCCTAAACACAGGCTTTGAGGCCTTGAAACCCTAAACGCTGGGCCCTGAAACCCTAAACACAGGCCCTGAGGCCCTGAAACCCTAAACACAGGCCCTGAAGCCTTGAAACCCTAAACGTGGAACCCTAAACACAGGCCCTGAAACCCTGAAACCCTAAACACAGGCCCTGAACCCTTGAAACCCTAAACGCCATGCCTTGGGGCCACCCTTGAGGCCCTGAAACCCTAAACGCCAGGCCTTGATGCCCTGAAACCCTAATTAGGGTCTCAAGTGTTTAGGGTCTCAAGGGTTTAGCAACGGTTTAGGCCGGATTTTGGGCCTTGCCCACGAATTTTTGGGCCTTGCCCGCGAATTTTTGGGCCTTGCCCACGAATATTTGGGCCTTGCCCACGAATACCATTAAGGTTTATAATTATATGGTAGGAGAGGTTTAGGGTTTAGGGTTTAGGGTTTAGGGTTTAGGGTTTAGGGTTTAGGGTTTAGGGTTTAGGGTTTAGGGTTTAGGGTTAGGGTTTAGGGCTAGAGATCTGACCCAAAGTCACATCCATAAATCTCGCAGCTTCCCAGCCTCTGTGGCTTCCTCAGGGAGAGTTATGCCTTCGCGCGCGGAGGGGCGAGTGGGGTGTGGGGTTTGGGGTTTAGGGTTCAACTAGATGCCCTAAACCCTAAACCCTAAGCCCTAAACCCTAAACCCTACACCCTAAACCCTAAAGCCTAGACCCTAGAACCCAAGCCCTAAACCCTAAACCCGAAACCCTGCACCCTAAACCCTAAAGCCTAGACCCTAGAAACCTAAGCCCTAAACCCTAAACCCCAAACCCTGAACCCTGAATACTCTAGCCTAGACCTGTTTGGGTCATGGGAAACCCTCGACCCTAGACACAGTTTAGGCTGACAAGAAAGGCGAAGGCAGGTTCAGGGCTTTGGGGTTTTTTGTGTCTTTAGGGCTTATAGGGTTTAGAGGTGTGTTTAGGGTTTAAAGGGTTTAGAGGGATTATGCGATTCTACAGGGTTTATGGGGCTGTATAGGGTTGCTAGCCCAAAGTGAACACTTCCCTTCTACGGCGCTCAGGGAAGTAGGCCGCCCACCAGAGTCCGACAACTGCTTCATGGTCTTCGCAGCCACCTGGACGAGGTGCTGGTAACAGGCCACTGGTTCTTAGGTTTTAGGGTTTGGGGTTCAGGGTTTGGGTTTGGGTTTGGGGTTTGGGGTTTGGGGTTTGGGGTTTGGGGTTTGGGGTTTGGGGTTTGGGGTTTGGGGTTTGGGCTTTGGGGTTTGGGTTTTGGGGTTTGGGGTTTGGGGCTTGGGGTTTGGGGGTTTGGGGTTTGGGGTTTGGGGTTTGGGGTTTGGGGTTTGGGGTTTAGGGTTTAGGGTTTAGGGCTACCAGAGAGGCCCTTAGCATGGGCCCTCGAGTTGGAAACCCTCATGCTCGCACCATACTCAGGACTTCGGGGGGACCAGCTATGAACCCTAAAATCCTGAAACCATAAATCCTGACCCTAAACCCTAACCCAAAACCCTAAACCCAAAACCTTAAACCATGAACTATCCCACTGAAGTGCCTTCGAGGGCATTTCGAAGTCCACGCCGACGTTCACGTCCATCCTGGCTGGCTCGGGGGGGAAGGGGGGGGGAAGCGGGGAAGTGGGAAGTTCAAGTGGTAGGGTTTAGGGTTTAGGGTTTAGGTTTTAGGTTTTAGGTGTTAGGGTTTAGGGTTTAGGGTTTAGGGTTTAGGGTTTAGGGTTTAGGGTTTAGGGTTTAGGGTTTAGGGTTTAGGGTTTAGGGTTTGTTTCGGGTTTAGGGTTTACTTAGGGTTTAGGGTTAAGGGTTTAGGGTTCGGGTTTAGGGTTGAGGGTTTAGGGTTCAGGGGGTTTAGGGCTTAGGGTTTAGGGTTTAGGGTTTAGGGTTGTGGGTTTAGGGTTGAGGGTTTAGGATTTAGGGTTTAGGTTTAGGATTTAGGGTTTAGGTTTAGGGTTTAGGGTTGAGGATTTAGGGTTTTGGGTTTTGGGCTTAGGGTTTAGGGTCTAGGGCGGAGCAAAAACTGCAATACTCGGCTATGACAAGTTGTTGCTCCCAACCATTCTGCTTCGCCGTCGCCCTCCCCCCAACTCCTCAATCCTATTCCAACAGCTGCTCCCTTCCCCCAATGTCCCCACTTCAGGCTTTATGTTCTTGATCGGGCATCTGAACACCAAGCCCCAAACCCCAAACTACCCCAAAAAACCCATAATCCCGAAGCCCCACACCCCCAAACACCGAAAACCCTAAAAAAAGCTAAACTTTAAACCCGAAAACCCTAAACCCTAAAAGCAATCAGCCCGTACAGGGGGGCCAGGCCCCCCTTGTACGGACGGAACAGTGTGGCAAGCAGTACGTCCAGACTCCACCCAAGCTTACGGCCCTGCAAGCAAGGCATGAGGACATGAGGGTCTGGCCTGGAACCCTTGGCCAGCGTCACCCACACCCAGAGGCTTCTGGCTGACCACGTTCTGGAAAACAGTGTGCCCCATGACCGTCTGCAAGGCTGCTTCGAACCCAGCCAGCAGTTCCACGTTGGGATTCTTGGGAGGCGCCTCGATGGCCGTGACTGTGTCCTTCCCAGCCTAAAACCCTAAAGCACTAAAACCCTAAAACCCTCAAACCCTAAAACCCCTAAAACCCTAAAACCCTAAAACCCCTAAAACCCTCAAGCCCTAAAAAGACCCTAAAACCCTCATACCCCTAATTAAAGCCCTAAAACCCCTAAAACCCCCCAAAAAACCCTAAAACCCCAAAACCCCTAAAACCCCTAAAACCCCTAAAACCCCTAAAACCCCTAAAACCCCTAAAATCCCTAAAACGCCTAAAACCCCTAAAACGCCAATTCCCGCCATTAAACCCCCTTAAAAGAGCCCCTCCCCCCCCCCCCCACCCCCTGGGAGCACGGACTGGTGGCTGTGCGTGGTGGCCTTGCCAGAAAAGCTGCCCTGGAGGCGCCTCTCTCATCGAGGGTTTAGGGTTGTTTAGGGTTTAAGGTTTGGGCTGTAGGGTTTAGGGTTTAGGGGTTTAGGGGTTTAGGATTTGGGGTTTAGGGTTTAGGGTTTGGGGTTTAGGGTTTAGGGTTTATATAGTGTTTAGGGTTTAGGGTTTGGGGACCCTGGAGGTCGGGTTGTGGGGTTTCAGTTGGGATCTTGGCTGCACTTGGGAGGGTAGTTATAAAATATTGTTAGCTGCCTTGTTCAGAAACCCAATAACCCCAAAAAGGCTCAGGATCTAAAGCTACAGTAAAACACCACAAAGGGATGTTCCCCCTTCTACCCTAGACTAACAGTCCCTAATTCTATACTCAGCTTGGAACCCTGGGCAACAATTATAAGTTTAGCTGCTTCTTCGGAATTACAGTGCCCAAAAATTAAAAACCCCTTCACAGTCCTTAATAGGGATTCTGGTACCCTCCCCCCGCTAGTATAATCCCAGTTAAGAACTGCCAGTTTAAGGGGGGAACATCCCAAGGTTTAAGAGCTTTCGGGCTTAGGCTTTCCTGGAAGCGCTTGGGAAGGATGGGGTTTTAGGTTTGGGATGAGGGGTTTAAGGATTTTGGGGGCATAGGGACGAGGTTTAAGGTTAAGGGATGCAGGGACCAGGGTTTAGGGATTTAGGAAGCCAGGGATTAGGATTGAAAGGAGGTAGGGATGAGGGTCTAGGGATTTAGGGTTTAGCAGTTGCGGCCCCATCACATCTCCTGGGTGGTGGCTAAGCACTTGGCACAGATGGCCTCACAAGCAAATTTTCCTGCGCTCCCGTGGTAGGCGGCTTGACTTTGGCCACCATCCCATGAACCTATGCGGGGTTTGCCTCGTAAGCAAGAAAGGGCATGCAGCTCGGGTGGAAACTGTCCGAACACCCCAAATCCTATTGCAGATGCGTCCCAGCCTTCAGACAAAAAAACCTAAACAACCCAAACCCCGGAACCCTAGAGCCCTGAAGACTCTGCACCCTGAAAGCTATAAAAACCCGAAAAAAACACAGTCGCGCACAAATTTTGGATCATTAAGTCCAGGTCCTAGTTCTAGGTGCCAAAAGAAAAGCACCAAGGGCTCCTTGTTTGGACCAACCCCCGTATAAGGGCAACACGGAACAAGCAAATAGCCACAAAAACACCCATAAACCCTGCACCCTAAACCCATAAACCCATAAACCCTGCAAACCCTATAAACCCTATAAACCCTATAAACCCTAGAAACCCTAGAAACCCTGTAAACCCTGTAAACCCTATAAACCCTATAAACCCTCAAGCCCTGAAGCGGATTTGAGGGCTTGGGGTTTGGGGTGTGTCGAAGTAACTAAACCCTAAACCCTAAACCCTCAACCCTACACCCTAAACCCCCAAGCCTTTTACCCTAAACCCTAGACCCTAAACCCTAAACCCCAGACCCGAAAAGATCGAACCTTCCTTCCTGGGCTCCCCAGCAGGTTGCCCTTCGACACATCCGGCGGGGGCTGAGCTCCGGTCTCTGCCAGCTGGGCCCACCTTGGCTTCGAGTTTAGGGTTTAGGGTTTAGGGTTTTAGGGTTTAGGGTTCAGGGCTATACTGTTTGGGGGGAGGGGGAGGTGTCTGGAGCTCTTGGGCGTGTTGGCTTAAGGGCTTGAGGGTATAGGTTTGTAGGGTCTGATGGGGCTTTTAGGCTAGGGCTTTAGAGCGTTGCAGTTTAGGTTTTTCGGGTTTGTGGTTTTAGGGCGGCCGTTGGGAAGTCCTCATTTGCCAGGATCCCCAACAAAAGAGCCTTCACCCTGGGGCCCTTTGATGCTAACCAAAATGCCCTCAAACTAAGGAACATTCTTTAAACCCGAAACCCTAAACCCTAAACCCTGAACCCTACACCTTAAACACCAAACGCCAAGCCCTACCCTGCAAGAACCAAGGATTGTTTTTACGACTCGTCCACGTCCAAGCCCTGGGTTCGGGTGGATCTGGGAGAGGTGTTTCAGTTTTAGGGTTTGGGGTCTAGGGATGTTCTTACAGGGTCTAGGGTGTAGGGTTAGGGTTTAGGGTTTAGGGTTTGGGGTTTAGGGTTTAGGGTTTAGGGTTTAGGGTTTAGGGTTTAGGGTTTAGGGTTTAGGGTTTGGGGTTTAGGGTTTAGGGTTTAGGGTTTAGGGTTTGGGAGAGCCTCGCCTGTCGGCATCCGGGTCCGCATACCAGAGCTCGTCGCAATTCTCGGGCTCGGCCACCGCCTCCCAGGGTCGGGCTGGCTGTCTTAGGGTTTAGGGTTTAGGGCTTGGGGTTGGGGGTTTAGGGTTTAGGGTTTAGGGTTTAGGGTTTAGGCTTTAGGCTTTAGGCTTTAGGGTTTATCATTCTTTGTAGGGGTCTTCGGGTAGTTACATGGTCCCTTAGTATGGACCCTTAAGGGGGTACCCCTGATATGCCCCTTATATACCCTCTACAAATTAAGGGCCCAAGAACCCTTTAAGGAGGTTAGGGACCATATTACGGGCCCATGTCACTACCCATTGCGGCTGGGCATACCTTTCGTCCTACTTGGAGGGTCGGGGCACTTACTAAGTAGGTTGGGCTTAGTTACATTACTCATAACCCCGTGCCTATGTCCCCTTGATCCTCTAAGTAGGCTTAGAGCTTGTCCCACAATAGGGTTTTGGGCTTATGTAACGCTTGGTTGCAGGCTTCTAGAACTTAGTCATGGACAAACTGCTAGACACAGTTGAAAAAGACACATACCAACATGGTGCTCGGCTGGGGGATGTGTTGCCCAGGGGGGTTTTGTTGTGTAAGCTGTGGGGCTTTGCGGGCAGGCTAAGGGGACTACAAGGGCATTACCCTAACCCCTAAACCCTAAACCCTCAACCCCTAAACTCGAAACCCCCTTGAGATATCCCCTACAAGGGGTTTCCGGGTGCCCTCACAGTCGTGCGGGTAGGGCTTAGGGCTTAGGGCTTAGGGTGTAGGGTGTAGGGTTTAGGGTGTAGGGTGGGAGAGTTCAGCGTGCATTCTGGTGCCCATTTCATGAGGGTGGGTAATTTGGTGAGCTTGTGCTGAAACTGTACAGTTTACAAAGACCCCAAACCCTAAAATCCTTAGCCTCTAAACCCTAAACCCTAAACCCTAAACCGTAAACCCTAAACCCTAAACCCTAAACCCAAAGTGACTTAGGCCCCCAGACTCCTCCACGCGTTGGGGCTCTTGGCTTCTCGAGGAGCTCAGGGTTTTAGGGTAAGGGGCTGAGGATTTAGGGGTTTCGGGTTTACGGTTTACGGTTTCGGGGTCTAGGGTTCAAACCCTAAACCCTAGCCCTAAACCCTAAACCCTAAACCCTAAACTCTGAACCCTGAGCCAGAGACCAATGGCCTTGTGGTGAGCGCCGAAAGTCGTCAAGACCGAAGCACAGGCCGCGGCGACCTGCCACAGCTAGGTAAGGGTTACCCGATGGTATATACAATCACCCTAAACCCTAAACCCTAAACCCGAGACCCTAAACCCTAAACCCTAAACCCGAAACCCTAAACGACCTGCTTGGAATCAACGCCACCCCGCAGCTGGGTGAAACGAAGAGCTTTTGAAAAACCCTGGGCCCAAAGCCCTGCACCGTTTTTGGGGTTGAAGGTTTAGGGTTTAGGGTTTAGGGCTAGGGTTTAGGGTTTGGGGTTCAGGGTTTAGGGCTTACGGGTTTAAGGGTTTAAAGGTTTAAAGGTTGAATGTTTAAAGGTGTAAAGGTTTTTAAAGGTTTTTAATTTAAAGGCTTTTAAAGGTTTTTGAAGGTTTAAAGGTTTAAAGTTTAAAGGTTGTTAAAGAGCTAAAAGGTTTTTAAAGAGTTAAAGGTTTAAAGGTTTAAAGGTTTAAAGGTTTAAGGGTTTAAGGGTTTAAGGGTTTAAGGGTTTAAGGGTTTAAGGGTTTAAGGGTTTAAGGGTTTAAGGGTTTAAGGGTTTAAGGGTTTAAGGGTTTAAGGGTTTAAGGGTTTAAGGGTTTAAGGGTTTAAGGGTTTAAGGGTTTAAGGGTTTAAGGGTTTAAGGGTTTAAGGGTTTAAGGGTTTAAGGGTTTAAGGGTTTAAGGGTTTAAGGGTTTAAGGGTTTAAGGGTTTAAGGGTTTAAGGGTTTAGGGTCTAGGGTTTAGGGTTTAGGGTTTAAAGGTTAAAGGTTTAGGGTTTAGGGTTTAAAGTTTAGGGTTTAGGGTTTAGGGTTTAAATTTAGGGTTTAGGGTTTACGGCGAACACCTAAACTTCCAGCCCGGAGCTTGGCCCAAACGCGTACATCCCTAAAACTCGAGATGAGGGTTCACGGTAAGTTATGGCCCCTTTTGGGTACCCTACATGCAAGGCGCCATAGCAGAATAAGAACCCCAACACATGATTTACAAAACCTCCCATATGTGGTGTTATGATGAAGGGATTGAGGCTCGTACCCCTGAGGTTGTACCCCTTATGGTTTCCCTGAAAAACTCCAAAATATGGCCCATATTTCCCTCCGAGGATCTGTAAACAGGGTCCCCAAACACCAAGGGTACAACCTTAGGGGTCTTAGGGCAGTTACATGGTCCCTTCATATTGGCCCTGAAAAAAGGGGACCCCTCCTATACAAATTAAGGGCCCGTGCTTCAGAACCCTGTCAAGGAGGTAAGGGACCATATTAAGGGCCCATATAACTGCCCTTAGGGGTCCAAGGCAACATCCCATGATGTGAGCAATCTAGGGGTCGGAAATAAGCACTAGTAGTATTCCCTTATCCCCTAAATAAGTATACAATTATAAAAGGATACTATCATAACACCCCCCCCCCCCAAAAAAAAAAAAAAAAATCTAGTTATTGAGGCCGCTAGAGTAAGGCAGCTAGCGGCTTCAGGTTTGTCGGGTTGGGGGATTGGGTTTAGTTTAGTTGCCACACATTGCAATAAACCCTAAAACCCGAAACCCTAAACCCCCAACTCTAAGTGCTGTGGGGGCTGGCACAGCCTTGTCGGGCGAGGCCCCCTGATCGAGCAGCAGCTTCCACTGCTCCTCCCCGCCATACAGGGCGTACACCCGAACCCTAAACCCTGAACCCTAAACTTGGATGTTCCCCCATATGTACTAAAAGTCCTCAATAAGGATTATAGTCCCCCCCCGCCCAATTATAATCCCTATTAAGGACTGTTAGTATGAGGGGGAGCAAGCAATACAGGGTTTACTCCCTAAACCCGAAACCCGAAACCCTAAACCCAGGGTTTCGGGTTTAGTGGCTACTGGTGCATCACCATCCCAGAAAACCATACACCCTGCAATCATGAAGCAGCAATCCCCTTTAGCGTGAGCCTTGGGGCGGGTAGAGGCATTTTGTTTGTGTCGTGCGTTTGGGATTTAGGTTTTCGGGTATAACCCGAACCCTAAACTAAGGGTTCAAGGTCAGGGCTTGGGGGCGGGAACTCTTGATGGCCCTGGTGGGCTGTCTCAGGCCCAGAAAGACAGCGCACACCTCTGAACACAAACCCTAAACCCTAAACCCTGGAGCTTCTGGCCTAAGACTCGGGGCTCGGGTTTCGGGTCTAGTAGCCTATGCCCCGAGACCCTGAACCTAAACCCCAAATCCTGAACCCTGAAACCCTAAACTAAACCCCAAATCCTAGCCCAATCCTAAGCAACCCGACCCACTGGGCTCGTTTCTGGAGGCAAAAAAAGGGGTAGAGCTTTGGGTAAATCCGAGGTCAAACAAACCTCCAACCTGAATTCTGATGCCCTGCCCAAAACCTGAACCGCCTGACGCCTGACCCCCTTAACCCTGGAGCCGGAAGCCTAAACCCTAAACCCTAAACCCCTCAACCCTGCCCCAAAGCCCGCCTGGGTGGCGAACCAAGGGGCGCGCACGGGCAGCACCTGCGGGGGCGGCGTGCCGGCGAAGACGGGGACCAGCGCCTCAGGCGTTAAGGGTTTGGGGTTCGGGGTTTAGGGTTTACGGTGTAGGGCGTGGGGTGTAGGGTTTTGGGGGGGGGGGGGGGGGCGGGCGGAGGGCTAAACGCAAAATATTCAACCCCAATTCCTAAACCTCTCAACCCTAAATTCCAAGGCTTTCCCTCGGCAAGCCCTAGTTTCTTGTTGAGGTTTTGCAGGTGTTGGCCAAAACCAACGGCTTGACCTTCATCAGAGCTTTGACCACCTTCTGTTGCGTGGAAGCCGCGGCCCCCACTCGACAGTTACTCCCTCCAATGACACCCTAAACCCTAAACCCCAAACCCTAAACCCTAAACCCTAAGACTTGGTCAACAAGACCACTGCGTGCTTCCTTCAGTCTCGAACAGGCCCTGTCTTCACTCAATAGCTGCAGTAGCAACATTCACTGTGACGGGAAAGCTCTAAGCCCTAAGCCCTAAACCCTAAACCCAAAGCTTAGGTCGACATCCGTGGTCCACCGAGCAGCAGCCCCCTGCTCGCCGGCGATCGCCAGCGTCTCCTAGCGCGGCCCCCAGTAGCCATTCTGACAGGGGTAGTTACTTGTTTTTGGGGTTGGTTACTTCATAAGGGAACCTTGAACCAGAAAAAGGGCAAGAGGGCACCACTGGGCTACCAAGAAAAGCCACCAAAACCAAGAAAACAATCAAAACCGCCAAAACCACCAAAACCACGAAAACCATAAAAAGTCGCTAGAACCGCTACAGGCACCTTTCCAGAACTTGGTGCTGGTTGAACCCTCTATGAACCCAGTGATTCCTCTGGCGCATCCGCGAGCACCACGAAGGCATCGCCCAGGTATCCGCCGATGGCCTCGCACTCCTGGCTGGGGCTTAGGAGGAGGGTTTAGGGTTTAGGGTTTGGGGTTTAGGGTTTAGGGTTTAGGGTTTAGGGTTTAGGGTTTAGGGTTTAGGGTTTAGGGTTTAGGGTTTAGGGTTTAGGGTTTAGGGTTTAGGGTTTAGGGTTTAGGGTTTAGGGTTTAGGGTTTATGTTTTAGGGTTTAGGGTTTAGGGTTTAGGGTTTAGGGTTTAGGGTTTAGGGTTTAGGGTTTAGGGTTTAGGGTTTAGGGTTTAGGCTGTTATGGGCTTAAAGGGCTTCGGCTTCTAGAAGGCTTTTCTGGGTTTTTTGAGGCGTAGGCTTAGGGTTTAGGCTTTCCCAATCCAATTAAAAACCGTCAAACCTGGGGAGCCCAACCCTGAAACCATCAATTGTCCTTGTGCCCTAAGCCTAACCCCCTCCAAATCCCTCGAAGTTGACCGCAGGGCCCACCCCTTGAAACTCGCACTGCTTTGCCTAGTACCATCAACCCAAAACCTAAACCCGAGGCCCGAACCCCTAAACCAAAGGGAACAAGGGCACCACTGGCAATCCTACACTGTAACCCTAAACCCTAAACCCTGTAACAGGGTGTCTCTGCCGAACGGACAAGGTGATCTTGATTCGGCTTGGGGCTTCTTGGGATTTCACAGTTGGGGGGTTGGGTTTTGAGGTTTTGAGTGCACAAGATCCCCTCCCCGACCCCCCTACCCGAAAAAGCCGTTCTCTGGCTGTAGTCGTTCCAGCGTTTGCTCTCTGACCCCACTCGTGCCAGCAAAACCTCAGCAGGAGAGCCACAAACGTCAACGCCCAGATGGCATGTTGTGGGGCGTCCAACACGCCGGGGACCAAAGCCCCAAAATACCCTAAACCCTAAAACCCAAAAACCCAAAACCCTAAACCCTAAACCTAAACCCTAAACCCCAAACCCTAAACCCTAACCCCTAAACCGAGCAGGGACAAAGGGCCCGGCGCCCTCTTGCATCTCTGCTGAAAGCTTCCCTTTTCGCTGCTCACGCTCACAATGCTCACATGCATCACCGATCCGGGGGACATCTTCCACCGGCGGCTTCCTTCATTAGGTATCCAAAACATGTGGGCTGCTGACCATGTCGAGTTCACGTCGAGTTCATGTAAGGGTCGTTGCATGATGCCTATTTAGAGCACTACCCATAATTTTTGGGGACCCTAAACCCTAAACCCTAAACCAGCTTCTGAAGGGAATTCTGAAGTATGGGCCTTTGGGTTGTTGGTGTTTGTGGGGGCGGAGTACTGCACGGGCTCCCCAAGTTAGGGCCCATACTCGGGCCCTCGTGACAGGTTTAGGGGTCAGGGTTTAGGGTTTAGGGTTTTGGGTTTAGGGTTTAGGGGTTTAGGGGTTTAGGGGTTTAGGGGTTTAGGGTTTACGGTTTAGGGTCCAGGGTTTCGGGTTTAGGGTCTAGGGTTTAGGGTCTACGGTTTACGGTTTACGGTTTAGGGTTTAGGGCTTAGGGTTTAGGAGGGCTTAGGGGGGTTTAGAGGGTTTAGTAGGGTTTAGTAGGGTAGGGTTTAGTAGGATTTAGTAGGGTTTAGTAGGGTTTAGTAGGGTTTAGTAGGGTTTAGTAGGGCTTAGTAGGGTTTAGTAGGGTCTAGTAGAGTTTAGGGTTTAGGGTTTAGCTAGGTGCCTCCACGTCTGCGCCCCCCGGCAGGTCGCTGCCACCGAGGCCGCTTTCCGCCCAGTGCGGGACCAGTTGGAAGGCCTGCTGATTCGGGTTTAGGCTTTAAAGGTTTAGGGTTTAGGGTTTCGGGTTTAGGGTTTAGGGTTTAGGATTTAGGGTTTTGGGTTTAGTGTTTAGGGTTTAAGGTTTAAAGGTTTAGGATTAGGGCCCTAAGCCTCTACACCCAAAGCCCTAGAACCACAGCATAAACCCTTCTCGCAAACTAGCTCCTAGCCCGCCAACTCTACTGAAACCCTACATGCTAAGCCCCACTCGACCTGCAACCCTACAACCTCGTAAACCACGCAAACCCCCCGAAGACAAGGTCGTGAAGGGCTGCTAGGTACCTGGTGGAACAAGAAGTTCTTATGAACAGGCCTAGACCCCCTAACTACAACAAGGCGCCCAAAAACCCTACGAGCCCGGAACCCTAGCAACTTGGAACTCCTTGCAAGAAACTGAAACCCCAAACCCTAAACCGTAAAACCTAAACTCTAAACCCCCAACCAAACTTCGAAGCTTCGGGGGAGAAACGCGGGCCTTCTCTTCGGGGCACTCAGCCAAGAAACCTTGGATTGGTCTTGGGCTTCGGGCTTGCAAGTTCATGGGATGTATTTCGGGTTTAGGGTTTAGGGTTTAGGGTTTAGGGTGTAGGGTTGGGGTTTAGGGTTTAGGGTTTAAGGTTTAGGGTTTAGGGCTAAAGGTTTAGGACGAAGAGGTGGCTAAGATTTCGGGGTCAGTCTTCAGGCTGATATGTACCTAACGTATGGTTAGGCGCGGTTGTTTCTGCAGTTGCTCCTACTGATAACCCATGTATAGCTCATGAACTATCAAGTCGGGCTTGCTTGGTTCAGGGTTTGGGGTTTAGGGTTTAGGGTTTAGGGTTTAGGGCTTAGGGTTTAGGGTCTAGGGTCTAGGGTCTAGGGTCTAGGGTTTAGGGTTTAGGGTTTAGGGTTTAGGGTTTAGGGTTTAGGGTTGATTTTGTGAGGTTTCGAGGTTGTTTAGTTCAAGGCATCATCTTTTCGGCAAGTGCTTGCTGTGGATATACTTTTCGACTCGCCCCCAGGGCAAGACGAATCAAATGCTGAAACCCCCCAAGAATCCCAACCAACCGAGCCTCGTGGTTAGAACCCTTGAACTTAACTAGTTCATGGTTGGGATAATATTAGAAGTTGAATTGTTATTCCTTATTGGGTTTAAGTACTCTGAAAAATGTAAAATGTTACCCAACTACGGCAAAGCTAAGAGGACACTTTTCTGAGCCAGGCGGCTTTGCTGGGCACCGGCCTGGCCTAAGGTGACGTAGCTGGCCTGCACCACTTTGGGGGAGTTGCTTCTTTTGGCGGCTGACCGAAGTTCAGGGACAAATCCAGCAAAAGCGCAGAACTTGGAGTCTTCAAGGGCGTGTGGAGCTGTCAGGTGTGACCTAAGGCAGCGTGACGACCAGGACGCAAGGTGGCTGCGAACATGTTGAGGGTGTTCACGCGGGCTCAACGCACAGCCTCCAATCCTTGACCTTACATGGGGCGCGCGCAATCTTCGAGCAGAGCACACGTTCATCACCGGCAGGGGTAGACAACAGAACAGAAGAAAGATGGCTGGAAGCAGACGTCGTCGTTTATTGCGGTGAACAGCAAGGCAGACTGGTTGCTAGCAGGAATCCTTTACAGAGTTCTAGTCTCTATACTTGGAGGTTCATGGATACTTAAACCCTGAACCCAGTCATATCTGTACTTACAAGCCCCCAAAACCGGTGAAAAGTGGACTTACAATTGGCAAGCCGCCTAGAAGTCCCCTAGGTAGCTGACACGTAGACTTATTATTGGGCTATAAGTAGCCATGAGCCTCCAAGCAATATAGGGGTTTACGAAAATGAGGGACCCCTGATGAAGACCCTCAAAATCGTAAGGTTCCCTTATAATAGGACCCCAATTTGCTACCCCTAAACACGAAACCCTAAACCCTAAGCCCTAAACCCTAATTTCGGAAACCCCCATATGTTGAGGGTTTAGGGTTTAGGGTTTAGGGTTTTGGGTTTTAGGGTTTAGGGTTTAGGGTTTCGGGTTAGGGTTTAGCGTTTAGCGTTTCGGGTTTAGGGTTTAGGGTTAAGGGTTAGGGTTTAGGTTTAGGGTTTTAGAGTTGAAGGTTCAAAATTAGGGCTCCTTTTTGGGATACACCCTACATAAGAGGGGCCATTCTAGAGACATGACCATAAGGCGGCACTTATAGAGACGTATTTAGCCTTCGGGAAAGGTGGGCGAGTTCGATCCCTTCACCTTGAACCCTGAACCCTGAACCCTGAACCCTAAACCCTAAACCCTAAACCCTAAACCCTAAACTCTAAACCCTAAACCCTAAACCCTAAATCCTAAACTGGAGCGAGCCGCGGGCGCTGCGATAAGCAGCGGCGAGCGATACCGGTCCGGGGGGCGCTGCCATCCTTCCCAATGTCCAAGGCGTCGACCGCTTTTCCACGGGGCTCTTGAAGCAGGGCAGTCACCAGCTTTCGCGGGCTTTGCTTTGTGGCGGGCAAGCTCCTGGGCGCAAGAGTGCGCAGCCGGCTGCAAACGACAGCCCCCATCCTGGACGATCTATCTCGGCGTTCTTGTTCGACCTGGTCGCGAGCAGGTTTGCGGGGTCAAGGAAGTCCTTTGCGTCGTCCTTGTCGCCCACATAGAAGGGGTTGCTCTCACCGTCTGGATAGGCGGCCAGGGCTTTCTTGGCAAAGAGCTCATACTTCGGAATGGTATCGCGCCGCTTGGTCTTCCCGCCACCGTCGCCCGCCTTGGCAGAAGGATGCTTTGGCAAGCCTGCGCGTCATGGCAGCTTGAACCTAGCAAGAAAATAGACTGGATTAGCTTGGGTAGCAGCTTTGAGCCAGAGCTGGAAGCAGATGACAGCAGACTCAAACCTAAAACTTGTAGCAATGTCAAACATGCAACCTAAGGCTGTGTGGACTCAGGGGGTCCAAAGGCTCTACAGGCTTCCCCTCAGGGTCCCAGACAACCTTCCGTGGGGCGGATTTAGGGTTTGTAGCCGTGAAAATGATTCGGGGGTCCAAGATTCCCCCGAGAGTCCCGGGCGATCCCAGGGAGGCCCCAGGAGGGTTTTTTTAACAGTAGTCGTCGAAATGAGAAGCAAACCCTCCCGAAAAGCCCTCCTCCAAGGACGGATTTAGGAGACTTAGTGATGCTTTCGTCGCGAGGAGGCTCCCAGGACCAAAAACCAAAGGGGGCCCAAGAGATAAACCTGTAAATCTTGTAAGCCCACTATAAACATCATTCAAAACCCTAAACCTGCCCAAGGTTGAGATGTGGGTGGGTGGGTTGTCAGAGCGCATTGAACCTGAGCGCATACCACAACACACGTCCCGCGTGGTGGTGTGCGCGGAACCTTGGCAAACCCTAAACCCTAAACCCTAAAGCCTAAACCCTAAACCCAACTCGAAGGCTCTTAGTTGCAACAGGACAGGAACCATAGGTTCCACAATTGGGCCCTAAACCCCAACCTTCTTGTGAACACGTCCTACTCGGGTTATGGTTTAGGATTCCAGCAAAAACAACCACCAAACCTGTGCCCCCAAAGCTCGTGTGTTTAGGGACGTGGCTTAGGCTGTTCTGGGTTTTAGGGCTTGGGGGAGGGGGTTAGGGTTTAGGGTTCAGGGTTTAGAGTTTAGGGGTTTAGGGCTTAGGGCTTAGGGCTTAGGTTTGTAAGGTTTAGGGCTTGGGCTTTCTTGGGTTGCTAGGGTTTGGGGGGTTTAGGGCTTTTTGGGCGCTTTGGGTTTTGGAGTATCGGAGCCATTTTTTGAAAACCTTAGAGCCTTAGGGAACTTAGGCTGCAAGGCTTAAGGTCTAGTCAGATCCCCAAGACCGAAACCAAATCCTAGACCCGAAAAGCCCAAACCCTGAACACTAAACCGTAAACACGTAAACCCTACACCCTAAACCCTACACCCTAAACCCTAAACCCTAAACCCTAAACCAGAAGGAAAGGGGGGGCTAGGGGACGGTGGCGGGGGTGTGGTTCTCAATGTCTTCAGGTCTCAATGTCTTCAGGCCCAGGTCTTGGTCTTCAGGGTTTAGGGTTTAGTAAGGGTTTGGGTTTAGGGTTTGGGGTTTAGGGTTTAGGGTCCGCCGACCCTGGCGGCGTGTTTTTGGATGGGTTTTTGGAGGTGAAAACCTCCCTGGAGGAACAGGCCACCCACACCGCGTAAACTCATGAACCATAGGCGGTTTCCCCCGCTTACCCCACCCCGACCGCCTCCCCCCCCCCACCCCCCTACCCCCCCCCCTACCCCCCCCCCCCCTGCCCACCCCCCCCCCCTACCCCACCCACCCGACCCCGACCCCCCAACCCCATTGTGAAGGACCGCCCCACCCCCCCCCCTCACCCCCCCACCGAACCGCAAACCCAATCAAACCCCAAACCTTAACTTGTTCTCCTGCGGGGTCGGCGGCTTGAGCCGGAGGCTCTTAATTTAGGGTTTAGGGTTTAGGGTTTAGGGTTTAGGGTTTAGGGTTTAGGGTTTAGGGTTTAGGGTTTAGGGTTTAGGGTTTAGGGTTTAGGGTTTAGGGTTTAGGGTTTAGGGTTTAGGGTTTAGGGTTTAGGGATACAAGAGTCTGTAGGGTTTAGGGTTTAGGGATAGAAGAGCCCTTTAGTAAGGGGTTTAGGGTTTCGGGTTTAGAGTTTGGAGTTTAGGGTTTAGGGTTTCTGGTTTAGGTTTTAGGGTTTAGGGCTTGGGGTTTGGGGTTTAGGGTTTAGGGTTTAGGGTTTAGGGTTTAGGGTTTAGGGTTTAGGGCTTCCCTAAACCTTGAACCCTAAACCCTAAGCTTCCCCAGACGCCTCGGTGCCCAGCGACGATACCACGCGCCGCGCTGCGGCGGCGGCGGCCGCCTTAGGGTTTAGGGTTTAGGGTTTAGGGTGTAGGGTGCAGGGTTTAGGGTTTAGGGCTTAGGGTTTAGGGTTTAGGGTTTAGGGTTTAGGCAGGGTTTAGGGTTCCGGGTTTCGGGCTTCAGTTGTATGCAAGGGTTATAAGCACCCTAGCTAAGATTGGAAAAGAGGTAGGACGATAGTTATCCTACTTGCCACCCTATTTAACTAGTGAGAACCTCGCCGAAATAATCGTTCGAACCCTTACCGAAAACAATTCTCAATATTCCCTTGCCTTTGATGTAAATAACACCCTAAACCCTAAACCCTCACCCCAAACCCTAAACCCTAATCCCTAAACCCTAATCCCTAAACCCTAATCCCTAAACCCTAAAGCCTGAACCCTAAACCCTACTAGGATGGCTACAGAGGGGTCTCTCATGGCATTCAGAGTGAGATCGGGACTGGAACCCTGCACTAAACCCGGCTCTGCGGGGAGACAAAAAAACCTGGGCTCGAAGGATTCCGGGCCTTTGCGTTTCGGTAGACATGTGTTTAGGGTTTAGGGCTAGGGTTTAGGGCTTAGGGCTTAGGCCTTAAGGTTTAGGGTTGAGGGTTTAGTATTTAGGGTTTAGGGTTTAGGGTTTAGGGTTTAGGGTTTAGGGTTTAGGGTTTAGGGTTTGGGGTTTGGGGTTTGGGGTTTAGGGTTTAGGGTTTAGGGTTTAGGGGCAGGTGGCCTCGTCTCCCGCGCCGATGACACAGATGCACAGGCCTTGCAACAGGCTTGTGTGGGCCTGGGGGGTGTTGGTCCTTCAATGGCCCTTAGGGTTTAGGGTTTAGGGTTTAGGTTTTAGGGTTTAGGGTTTAGGGTTTAGGGTTTAGGGTTTAGGGTTTAGGGTTTGGGGTTTAGGGTTTAGGGTTTAGGGTTTAGGGTTGGGGCTTGGGGCTTAGGGCTTAGGGCTTAGGGCTTAGGGCTTAGGGCTTAGGGCTTAGGGCTTAGGGCTTAGGGCTTAGGGCTTAGGGCTTAGGGCTTCGGGCTTAGGGCTTAGGGCTTAGGCTTTAGGGTTTCGGGCTTTGGGTTTAGGGTTCGGGGTTTGGGGTTTAGGGCTTAGGGCTTAGGGTTTAGTGTGAGGAAAAGAGGTAACGCGCACTAGCTAGAGGGGTCATTACAGACTCCCCGCGCTCTGCGGGAGTGCGGTGTCTCAGTACGGTTTCAAGGGACTCAAGGAGGGACCCTTTTAAGGGACCTTAGGGGTTGTTTAGGGGTTTTTTAGGCGCTACTTAGGTGTATAGGGACTGTATCAAAAGGGAAAAAAAGTGTTATATTAGGGGATTAAGGGTCCCTTTTCGGCGTCCCTCCTTATACCCTTTAATCTGTGCATAGCGTCTACCTCGAGGCTATGAGTGAACGAGCGCACTACCACGGTCCCTTTTGTTCGTCAGAATAGAAAGCCTACCTGTAGTGGAACCCTCAACCTTTCTCCTTCAACCCTCAAAAACCCTCAACCCTCAACCCTGGAGCCCTCGACCCTCAACCCTCAACCCTCAACCCTCAACCCTCAACCCTCAACCCTAAACCCTAAACCCTAAACCCCAAGCCCTAAACCCTAAACCATCCCCCGCTAACCCGTAATTCCCCGCTTCCTTCGCCAAGCGATTGGCGCAGAGTGTCGGCCTCAACAGGGTGGCTTAGGGGTCAGGGGGTTTAGGGTCTAGGGTCTAGGGGTCTAGGGGTCTAGGGGTCTAGGGGTCTAGGGGTCTAGGGGTCTAGGGGTCTAGGGGTCTAGGGGTCTAGGGGTCTAGGGATGGAGTTGCGGGTTTAAGGGTCTAGAGGGCTCTATGGAGTTTGGGGCTTTTCAGGGTTTTTGAGGGGCTGGGGGGAGTTTAGGGTTTCGGGTTGAGGGTTTAGGGTTTAGGGTTTAGGGTTTCGGGTCTTGAAGTTATCTGTCGGACTTGCTCCTCGGTTGGGCCACCAAATGAACCCTTTCAAACAGATTTCCGAAAACTCTTGAATCCAAGCATTTTCATATGCGCCAGACCCTACACCCTAAATCCTAACGCCGAAATACTGAACCCTAAACCCGAAAGCCTAAACCCTAAACCCGAAACCCTAAACCCTTAACCCTAAACCCTAAACCCTAAACCCACCCAGGCTCGCTCTCTCACACTCTCTCGGTCTCGTCGGTGCTTCCCTATCATGTCTCGCCAGTATCTGCAGCCGCTGTGTCGGCGCTCACTTGGGTTTAGGGTTTAGGGTTTAGGGTTTAGGGTTTAGGGTTTAGGGTTTAGGGTTTAGGGTTTAGGGTTTAGGGTTTAGGGTTTAGGGATTAGGGATTGGGGTTTGGGGTTTAGGGTTTAGGGTTTAGAGTTTAGGGTTCAGAATTTAGAATTTAGGGTTTGAGGTTGGGGTCTTGAAGCCTCTCGAGAAGCCTCTGGGCCCCCAAACTCCCAAACCCCCCAAAAACCTAAACCCCTTAACCCCTACACCCCAAACCCCTACACCCCAAACCCCTACACCCCAAACCCCTAAACCCTAAACCCTAAACCCCAAACCCCTAAACCCCTAAACCCTAAGTATGCCGCTGATGCTGCCAATTCTCGCAGGGCACTGGAAGGGTCTTGGTGATGCGGTGGCCTACGGGTTGGGGTACGGCTTGCGGACGTTTGTGGGTAGCAATAAGCGGGCCCCTATGCCCGTCATTTACGCGTACGTGTAAAGATAAATATGATATGCTATGCTATGATATACTCGTGAAAGCGACCACTAAAGCTCGAACCCGACTCCCTACCCTGAACCGGAAACTCCCGTCGCGCCTTCTCCTTTGCCCTCTCTCTGCTTGTGGGCGACAAGACGCCTCGTATGACCTCCCGCTACGAAACCCGTGGAGACCCCGCCAGGGGCGTCGTTCTTGGGGAGGGGTTAGGAGTTAGGGTTTAGGGTCTAGGGGTTAGGGCTACACCCTTCATGAAGGATATGTCCGTAGTTGTCATACTATTCGGGGGCCCTCAACCCTAAGCCCTAAATCCCGAACCCAAATTTAAGGAACCTTCCTTTTTTGAAGCGGTATTCGGCTCAGGGCTGGTCCAAGGGCTTTTGTATACATATCCTGCACAATCAAGAGATTCTTTCGGACTTTGCGAAAGAAGAGGGTTTGGGGTTTCGGGTTTTGGGTCTAGGGTCTAGGGTTTAGGGTTTAGGGTTTTGGGTTTAGGGTTTAGGGTGTTGTTCTGCACAGCTTGCTTCGGCGGGCCTCCGTCGCGGAGCTCAGGAGCTCCATTGCAGCAACGGCGCACGGGATGCTTAAAAGAAGCCCAGAGCCTGTCGAGAGGGGCTTACACACTCTGAAACCCTTAAAAGCCACGAAAACCCCAAACAAAAACCCTTTAAACACCCGAAACCCTAACTTTGAAAACCCTGAAACCCTAAACCTTAACACCCTAAGCCCTCTGGCCCCACGCCAGTCAATCCTGGGCTGTAGACCGAGATCCTCAGGCTGAGATTTTTCCGTATGAGTACTAGCAAAGCCGTAGACACGTAAACCGTAAACTCTGCTATTCGTACTAAGTCTTCGTTCTGCTCCGGCTGTCGGCCAGCAGCGCGTCCGGCGCGAGCGAGCGAGAACTCCCACAGACCCATAGGGTTTCCGGGAAAGGGGGGGTTTAGGGTTTGCGCTGTAGGGCTTAAGGAATAGGGTTTAGGGTGTTTCGTACTTGGGGTTTCGGGGTGTTTGGGGGGGGGGAGTAAGAGCTTCGGTTTGGGGCCTCCTCAACCCCAGCCGACGGAGCCTATCGCTCCGAGTCCCAAAACCCAAAACCCTAAGCCCGAAGCCCTAAGCCCTAAACCCAAAACCCTAAACCCCAAGCCCTAAACCCTAAAACCCCAGAGGCCCCCTCCTAAAGCGCCTGAACATAAAAACCCTCGGCCCCCTCCATTCCCTGCACCCGAAAACCCTAGAGAACTGCAGTGCAGGGTCCAGGGGGTTTAGGGTTTAGGGTTTAGGGTGAATTATAAGGCTCAGGGGCCCAGGGGTGTTTGGGGAAAATATTTGTCTACCCCAAACCCGAAACCCGCCAGAATACCCCACATCCTGTCGGGTTCATGGAGGGCTGTTCCGGAGGATGGTAAAAATAAGAGAGTCAAACAAGCTTTGGCCTTGTGTTCTAAGGGTCAGGTCCCTTTTGAAAGTTGTCTACCATGGTTTCGGGCTGAGGGTTTGGGGTTTAGGGCTGAACTTCTTACAAAATCTAGGGTTTAGGGTTTAGGGTTTAGGGTTTAGGGTTACTCTCGAAGCCCAGCTGACAAGCGCGGCGATGCTTGCCATTGCCGGCGTCACACCTGAACAGCGCTGCGCACCCCCTGAGACCGACTAGGCCTGAGACCGACTAGGCCCCTTTAGGGTTTCGGCTTCGGGTGCCCTAAGCCCCCTGAGCCCGAAATCCTCAACCCTATACCTAAGCCCTAAATCCTCAACCCTATACACTAAACCCTAAACCTTAAGCCCTAAATCCTCAACCCTATACTTATACCCTAAATCCTAAAGCTTGAGCCCAAAACCCCGACGTCCCTGTGAACTCAACGGAATCAAAAACCCTCGGGCTCGCGGGCCTAGGGCTGCGGGGGAAGAACGACGATTTGCTAGTCACAAGATATGGGGGTTTACAGAAATTGGGGACCCGTAATCCCCAACTAGTAGGATGCCCTGAAAAATTAGGACCCCAATAAGGTACCCCTAATTTCGGAAACGCCCAGAAGCTATCTTCTGGCACCACCCCCCCCCCTTAATTCTCAAACAAAGACTTTGAATGTCAAGCTGGGCGCAGAGCGGTGGCGCGAGCAAATCATGTTTAAAATTAGGGTGGGGGGGGGTTTTGTTAGGGAGAAGCCATTAGGGATTATAAGGGCTCAAGGTGACTTTAAAATGGTCATGCTTAATCATGTCCAGGGGGCATCCACTTTGCAGCCAGGCCTCGCTTGCAGCCATCCCCAAACCTGAGGCTTGCCTCCTGCACACCTAAACCCTAAA